AGGAGGCACCAAACAAGTACAATCCATTCCATATATGACAAGTAAATATCGTACGAAAATAGATGAATAGAAAAAGAATAGATAATTTGGTGGCAAAATGCTGTTTCCATTGTGTTACATCATTTGATATGGTAAATATGATAAATAATCATCTCAGTACAAAATCTCATATAGTTAATTGAACGACATTTAATAGTTTTATATTTAAAAAAATATGGATCTTACATATATAAAATAGAAAGTAAAATTATCTCATACATTAATATTTTTTATATTGTCTCTGTCAGATGTAACCACATCTCCCTCCCGTTTCTATTATTTCTAACGAAATCAAACTACGCTAATGAAAATGAATATTTCAAAAGCGGCTGACCATGCTGAAGCCACTTGTCAAAATTGGTTCAAACATGAAAAGAAAGAATACAATGAACGTTTCAAATTATTTTGTAAATTAACTTTTTTTTAATTAATTGAATTATAAAAACTAATGTTTATATATATATGCAACTGTTATGTTGCAGAAAAACAAAAATCATGTCGTGCTAACTCATAGTAAAATGTTTCAGATTTTTTTATTATTATTAAAGCACCGGATCCCACATAACATTATGTCTATAGGAGACCCAGTCTTGTCCTACAACATAAGGACCTTAAATATGTCTATAGGAGACCCAGTCTTGTCCTACAACATAAGGACCTTAAATTTATATATATATATATATATATATATATATATATATATATATATATATATATATATAGGTAGGATCCTTTAACACCGGTGTTAAATTTGAAGTTTGACACCTCATCTGAGAGTCGTTAGATCAAGAGATCTTTAACTTTTGGCGTAAGATTTAAAATTCTTATATATCATCTCAGTCGTTAATTTTTGTCCATCTAAGAATTATAGTTTATTGAGTTATACCAATTAATTAATTATTAATTTCAAATAAATTATAACCATTAGATGGACAGAAATCTACGGTTGAGATAAGTGGTAAGATTTCTAAGTCTTACAATAAAGTCAAAAAAAAATTCCCCAGTAAATCTTATACTCAATTTTGACAAATGATTTTCGTCCATCAAACGTATGTAATTAATTGGATTATTCTCATTAATTAATTATTAATTCTCGATAAATTATAACCGTAAAATATAAAAATGAACGGTAAAGATTGAATGTAAGATTTGTTATTCTTATACCGGTGTAAGAACATATACCTATATATATATATATATATATATATATATATATATATATATATATATATATATATATATCGCTTTTTCTAAAGTCAATGTAGATAACTTATCTACAGTAAGCCCAAAACGATGTCATTTTGGGACGAAAATCAAGGTATTTTTGTAATTATAATTTATTTCAAGGTTATAATAATCTTTTTTATTATAATTTTTTAATTTCTCAACCCAAAACGACGTCGTTTTGTGAGCGAATGTAGATAACTTATCTACATTGACTTTAGAAACATTAAAGCCATATATATATATATATATATATAGGAAAAAAGGTGTGTCATTTTAAATGACACACCTTACATTCTTTAACTCTCACAAAGAGGTGGGACCCACATCTTTATAAAAATTTCGCCCCAATCTCTCTCCCATGATTTATCTATTTCTTTTACTTAAAATGACACAACTTTGTGTCATTTAAAATGATACACACTTTTCCTATATATATATATATATATATATATATATATATATATATATATATATATGGGGTAAATATTTCTACAGCCACTTTAGATAAGGTTATCTACAGATACTCCAAAAACTACGTCGTTTTAATTAATAAATGATGTTTCTATAATTTTAGGTGAATTAATGAAGGGTGTTTTCGTAATTTTGTTAATTTTTTATCATATGCATTTTACCGAAACACCCTTCATTAACTCACCTAAAATTACAAAAACACCCTTCATTGATCAAAACGACGTAGTTTTAGGACTAGCTGTAGATAACATTATCTAAAGTGGCTCTAGAAATGTTTTTTTCCATATATATATATATATATATATATATATATATATATATATATATATATATATATATATATACGGGTTTACATTTTTGCAGCTCTTGTACGTGCAACAATCAAATACTTGTCATATATATACGTGAAATCATTAAATGTGGAGAATCATAACCATACAAAAGATGAAAGCATTAAATATGAGGAATCATAACCATACACCTGTAGTTGTTGTACGTAAAGTGGCTGCAAAAATGATTTTATTAAATATATATATATATATATATATATATATATATATATATATATATGATAACTAGAGTTATTCTTTGATAAATGATCACTATGAGTCAGACTCAATAGAATTTGATCAATCCTTTTTTCTGTCGTTAAGGTAGAGAACTGAACCAAGAATTCTCTTTCTTTATCATCAATCGAATCGCTGTTCGAGACCCAGGATTCTATTTTATCATCAATTCAATCACCATTCACATTTTTTTTTCTTATCAAGAAATAAATCGCTTGACTTGTATGACTTAGATGTCTCAAATTTCTGGAAAAAACGATTCGATTGATGGGATTTCGTATGATACTTATGAGATCGACGAGATTACAATATTTCTTCTTAGAACGTCTTGATTTGACCCCATAAGCGGGACCACCACCCCATAGCTATATATATATATATATATATATATATATATATATATATATATATATATATATGGGAACAGATCCACTTACCACCAAAAATGTTTACAACCTTTACAACCAACGTAATCACCGTTGATTTCCGTCAATCTAACGGTTATCATTTATTAGAAATTATTTGGTCGCATTTATTAATTAATTATTAATTTCAAAAAATGATAGCCGTTAGATTGACGGAAATCAACGGTGATTACGTTGGTTGTAAAGGTTGTAAACATTTTTTGTGGTAAGTGGATCCATTCCCTATATATATATATATAGATAAAATCATTTATGCAGCCGCTTTACGTACAACAATAACAGGTGTATGGTTATGATTCCCTACATTTAATGCTTTCATCCATTGTATGATTATGATTCCCCGCATTTAATGCTTTCAAGTATACATATGGCAAGTATTTGATTGCTGCACGTACAGCTGTTGCAGTAAACCCTATATATATATATATATATATATATATATATATATATATATATATATATAGGTAAAATCATTTATGCAGCCACTTTACGTACAACAACGACAGGTGTATGGTTATAATTCCCCACATTTAATGTTTTCATCTTTTGTATGGTTATGATGATTCCCCGCATTTAATGCTTTCACGTATATATATATGGCAAGTATTTGATTGTTGCACGTACAGCAGCTGCAGAAATGTAAATCCCATATATATATATATATATATATATATATATATATATATATATATATATATAGGAGAAGGTTATATTTACAAACTTTTTGATTACAAACTACACTGTGTATGACCGGCCATACTTCACTCAAGAGTGTATGACTAATCTAGTGTAATTTGTAAAAAAAAATTCTAAACGGATCCTTCCCAACATATATATATATATATATATATATATATATATATATATATATTGAGAGAAGAACATTAATCACCAAAAGGACGACAATACTTTTAAAATTAAGATGGCAATTAAAAGACCCAGAACTATTGAAATAAATGAGATTATTACTGTTTATAAAAAAAAATTGAGATTATTACTCATAGGCCATAGAGCAATGCTGGCATTCTGGAACTTTGCATTCCTCACCTCTAATCCTTTGACAACTGTGGCAAAACACTGAACTAGATTTATTTATTATTTTTCATAATAATAATAATAATAATAATAATAATAATGTAAAGAGCATCATGATATTCAAATTTAAATCTTACGTAATTTAAGCAAAGAAAATAATGGGAAATTAAACACCAGTTAACTTTTGTGTTATATGTGACCATAAATCTAAGGGAATGAATGGTAGGGGGATTATTTTGAGATACTCAAGAAAGTGAGAGTGAATTTTTAAGATCAAGTTTGATAGCACATTGGAGAAAATTATCCTGAAAAAGTGATTTTATTGGGATTCTTTTTTCTGTGTAAAATTGGAACAAAAATTTAACCAAAAAATATCACCCAGCTGGTGATATTTTGACTTTCTTAGGAATATGGAAAATTATAGTCGAAAATTGTGATAAAATTAACCCTCAAGTTCTCTCCTTCCTAACATTCCACCTGATCGCCTCCTTCTCATCTATACCGTGAATCCACCGCCACATATCCATCTTCTTCATTAACCACCTACCACCCATTGTCCAAACCCTCCTTGCTAAAGACCACCGCCAATCACTGTTTCATCATCAACGACAGCCCCATAACATCAAGAAACACAAAAACAATATTCAAAATCGCGCGGGGAGGGGGAAGGGGGAGGAGCAGATAATTTTTGTGCACGGTCCTATTCTAACTATGTACTCTGAGGAGTACATAGTTATAATATTAAAGTTACTTTTTTTTCTCTCTCCACGTTTGTCGATAATTTTCCAAGGTAAGAGAAAAAAAGTAACTTTAATATTATAATTATGAATTCTTTGAAATACAAAGTTATAATAGGTCATTGCACTAGTTGGAAAGAATATATCTTTTATGTATCTGTAATTATTTATTTTCTTATTTCATTAGGATTTGTATTAGGTCTGGGCTTAGCCCATTAGTATGTCTATATATTGTACATCTTGCATCAGTTCAATACATACAGTTTTATTTCAATGTTCCTCTCTTTTCTTGTTATTTAACTAATGTGGGGTTTATAAGGTTTTGGGCACTCCCACCCTTTGAGCTAGCTTTTGGGGTGGTGTATCCTAAGGTTCTTATCAAGAGCCTAAGGAACCTTGAATTTTTTTTTTTCGGTGAACCCATTGTTCATCGTCTTTTAAATTTTTTTTCCGGAACTGTCTCGTTGTCAGTTTCCGGACATTTTCTTCCGCATTCAAACCTCTGACTTCGTCATCCACCACCGTCCGGTGGAGTTTTCCGGCAAACCACATACCGGCGTGCTCGTCTCGGCAGCGCGATCTCAACGGCATCGGCCGCATCTCCAGAAAACCTCCCACGCGCCCTCTCGCACGCGTGACAAACTCACCAGTTGCCAAACTCACCACCATTAGGCTTCTTCTAGCCATTGCAGCATCCCAAAACTGGTTTTTGGAGCAAATTGACATCAATAATGCCTTTCTCCATTGCAATCTTACTGAAGATGTTTACATGTCTATACCACAAGGAGTTTCTGCACCAAATCCCCAACAAGTTTGCAAGCTCCAAAAGTCCCTCTATGGACTTAAGCAAGCGAGTAGAGAATGGAACATGAGACTGACCACAGAGCTCATTTCTCTTGGGTACACTCAATCAAATGCAGACCACTCCATATTCACCAAAGCCACTCATGATTCTTTCACTGCACTTCTGGTGTATGTTGATGACATGGTCCTAGCTGGTAACAACATGATCGAGATACAAGCCGTCAAGCAGCATCTTGATAAGCTTTTCAAGATCAAGGACTTCGGTCCTCTTCATTTCTTTTTAGGATTTGAGATTGCTCGTTCTCAACGAGGCATAGTCTTAAATCAGAGAATATACACTTGAATTATTGACTGATAGTGGTGTGCTTGGAGAAAAACTTGTTTCTACCCCAATGGAAGCCACACTTTCCTTATCCCAAAACCAAGGAGAGCCTTGTCATGATGCTGGAGCCTACCGTCGACTTGTTGGACGTCTTCTATACCTAACAAACACCAGACATGATATTTCTTTCGCTGTACAGCAACTGAGCCAGTTTATAGCACAGCCTATGAAGTCTCATTTTGATGCTGGTCTTCGAGTATTGAGATACCTAAAGGGATCTCCAGGAAAGGGACTCTTCTTTCCATCTCAGAACTCACTTGTCCTCACAGGATTCACGGATGCTGATTGAGTCACATGCCCAGATACTCGTCGTTCCACTACGGGCTTTTGTATCTTCCTTGGATCACCATTGATTTCTTGGAAATCTAAGAAACAAACCACAATCAGTCGCTCATCAGCAGAGGCAAAGTATCGAGCATTAGCAACTTTGACCTGTGAAGTGCAGTGGCTTACATATCTTCTTCATGATCTATGTGTTCCAGTTAATGGTCCAACCAAAGTATACTGTGACAATCAAGCAGCCATACATTTGGCTCACAATCCCACTTTTCATGAAAGAAGCAAGCATATAGAGTTGGACTGTCACTTGACCCGCGAGAAAATCGTCCAAGGATTGATTCATTTGCTTCCAATTTCAACCAAGCAACAACTCGCAGATACTTTCACAAAAGCACTTCATCCAGCTCCATTGCATGCTTGTTATCCAAGTTGGGACTTCATGACATCTACCTCCCAACTTGAGGGGGGTGTTGAGTATCAGTTAGTTAGGAAGTTAGTTAGTCGTTTAGGAAGTTAGTTAGTCGATTTCTGTTACTCACATTTACTGTTAAGCTCTCACTATATATATGTGAGAACAATGTAACTTAAACTTACTTGATTCATTTTTTACTTAATATGAAAATTCAGTTTCCCATATTCTCTGTTTACGATTGCTACAGTGGGTGTGCAAGGTCCATGCATAATCAAAAGACAAAACATTAGACAATAAATAAGTAAAAGAGAATGTCGCTATTTGCCGATTCTTCCTTACATTCATAAAGGATCCCAAGAGAATAAGGACATTATCGTTTTTTAAATAAAAATTCAAATATAACGGTTCCGTAAAAGCCACCTTACAAGCACAATCCATTTCATAAATATGAAAAAGGAATATCATAAGAAAAGAGATGGATAGAAGAAGAACAGATAATTTGGTGGCATGATGGTATGCTATTGCCACTGTGTTACATCAGCTAATGTAAATACATTTTTATTTCAAAAAAAAAAATGTAAATACATTTTCATCCGGTTTCTATTATTTTTAATGAAAAATATATATAAAAAAGTGTGTGTTGTTTTAAATTAAGGATACAAATGTAGGTTTTTTTAAGAGAAATAAATACAAAGAGGTCGGATCTATACCTTTATTTTTTTGGCTTTATTTTTTTGATCAGTGGAATCCATACATCTTTGTGTCTATATCTCTCTTAAAAAGATACAAGTTTGTGTCCTTTGGAAGAACACAACTTTTGGCAGGAAGCTTAAATATTGCATAGACATATATATTTTTATTTTTATTTTTTTTACCATATTGCTGCACAAAGTGAAAGGTGCGAAGATCAAACTAGTAATCTCATACTATGTAAATTAATTATTTCAACTCAACAGCTCAAGCTATTAACGAATGATGAGACCGTCTTTGGCATAAAATTTTGAAGCAACGGAAACAGTTGACAAATGATGAAGCAACTTGTCAAAGTTTGGTTCCAACTTAGAATATCCTCAGCGCACAGAGAGGACTGTGTGTTGTGTTGAGATATGTAGTCCCACATTGGTTGTATGTGCAACTAATGTGGAGTTTATAAGGCTTTGGGCACTTCCACTCTTTGAGCTAGCTTTTGGAGTGGTGTCTCCCAAGGTTCTTTACATGGTATCAGAGCCTCGTGTCCCGGGTTCAATCCTCGCCGCCCCCACTTTCTTTCAAGTGGAATTTATTTGTTCGCACAGGTAAGTGGACCTGTGCATTGTCCACTCTTCAAGCTCGTAGTCCCACATTGGTTGTATGTGCAACTAATGTGGAGTTTATAAACCCTTGGACACTCTCACCTTTTGAGCTAGATTTTGGAGTAGTGTATCCCAAAGTTTTTTACATGTTTGCTGTAAAATTTTGTAAATATCCTTGAAGAAATATAGAGGCTTGCCCCCGGCAAGTGCAATCGATAAAAAATACAAACATTAAGGATATACTTTTTATGATCAATTACTATATTAAATTTAAAGAAAACAATAGTAAAAGCCCTGAAATCTCTGGTTATAAGGTAAATTTTAGCTGTTCCCAAATGCATGACATTTATATTTATCACTTAAAGCATAAATGATCAATTCAATTTGGTTACTAAGTAGACATGAACATATGAATAGAGTATAACGACAATGGCCAAAAAGCAGACAATATAAACCAAGAATATTTATTTAATATCATTTGTTAGCATCAAATATCTAGATTAGAAATCCACATAATCCCAAAAAAAAACACAAATGCATTATAACAAGTTTTTGGAATCATTCCTTTAGCTTCAAGAAAGTTTTCAGCCATTGCCAGCATTGAAATCACTATATTACGTGGTAGTATTGGGTTTTATTTAACCTTGGTATATAAAAGTTTCTTATAAATTAGTAGTGTAAGAAATACTTTTATTATTTTTTCAAGGGCGTTGCATTTAACTTCCTTTATGTTCTTCTCTAAATTTTACTCCTTCAACTTCTACGAGTCTTTTCACTTTTACCGTCCTCACTTTATCAATTTTCAATTAATATGAAAATTTATCACTGACTCTTGAATATTTTCATTATATGAAACACTCCTCTCACTGAGTTGATGAGATGACAATAGTAGAAACCTCTCCAAGTTGAAAAAGCATCAAGGGTCCATATTGTCTGGCAAAATCTCTTAGTTTTCGATGGGGTTAAGAGCCTACCAAACTGTGTATATTACCTTTAATAGGTAATACAAGGGTTAAGAGGAGAAAGGAGAAAAGAGATGAAATGTAGACGTTTAGCAGAGCCATGGAAAAGAAACAGAATAGTATTATTAGTCATATCCTAATTCCTACCAGTGTTTGTTTATATACACGTTACTGACTAGTATAATGCCAAGTCATATTCTTCGGTTTCTCCTTTTTCATGAATAAAACAAACGAAAATGAGAGGAACAAGGTGGTTCTTGGAAGTAAGGTATTCCCGTTTGGTGATGGGTGCGAGCACACCTAAGGGCGTGGAAGTGAAAAATGAAGGGAACAAAAAAAAAGAGAGGATATACGTATTAGTCATAAGCATATTCTACTTGTGTCTGGTTGTGGACACATTATTCAGCACCCTTCTTGTTGGAGTTATTTAGATGATTCATTAGATTATGGAAAGTTGATGTCTTCTCAAGTTTCGATGCATGTTAAAAAGAAAAGGCTTCTTGTAAAAATGAATGATTGCATTGAACATCCTCTTCAATAAATGGAGAAAGAGAGTAGTTTTGTTCGTCATATCCTATTACTGTCTGTTTATATACACATTATTGAGCACTCTCCTTGACTATGCTTTACATTTTGTTTTTGTTTTATGCCGTTTCATAAAGAATAAAACAGAGTAGTCTTCGGTTTCTTTATATACACGTTACTGAGTAGTATAATGCCAAGTCATATTCTTCGGTTTCTTCTTTTTCATGAGTAAAACAATTGAAAATGAGATGAACAAGGTGGTTCCTGGAAGCAAGGCAATGGCATTTGGTGTTGGGAGGGAGCAAAGCTAAGGTTGACGGTGAAAAATGAAGGGGAAAATGGATATGCATTATCCTACTTGTGTCTGTTTATGTGCACGTTATTGTGCTCTCTCCTTGACGATGTTATCCCTTATTCTTTTTTTCAGTTTTGTGCCGTTTCAAAATCTTTGGTTTCTCCTATATTTGAAAAAGTTTATTTCCATGTTTGATTTCTTCTCCAACAGTGGAAGTATCTGGTATTCTAAAGTAAACCTGACTTATTTGTACAATTGTAATGGTTACGGCCAATTTCAAAAGAAGAGCAAAAACCTTCAAGTCCTTTTCCATCAACAAGGTGGTTCTTGGAAGACTATGTTTTGCTTATCTTCTGAGTTCTACTATATTATGTTCACACCATCTGAATACATGGATATCATCATAACTCATAGCCTGTTGTTGAAGTTTTGTCATCTTAACACTTGAAAAAGGGTTATGAAATATTATTGATTTTTTATTTGAATCTGTACATAGGGGTCTCTATTTATAGAGACTTCTTGACCTAATTTTGACCTAATGGGCTTGGCCCAATATACAAGTAACGGACTAAATAAAAATAAATAAATGACTACATAATTACTATTTACAACACTCCCCCTCAAGCTGAGGAATAAGTATTTATCATTCCCAGCTTGCTAGCAAGTTCTTGAAATCTATCTGAAGGAAGCCCCTTTGTCAATAGATCAGCTAATTGACGCCCAGTGGGAATGTATGGAGTGGTAATCAACCCGCTATCAAGTTTCTCTTTGATGA